AGCACATGGGAGTTCTTTCTAAGCTTTCTTTGATTAGTTGAATAGTGTTACAGCAATCGTACAGACAACTTGCCTGGGTGTTAATTTATGCATAAACTTGAAGTAGTGAAATTTGAGCTGCTGCCCTACAAAATTGACAACTGGTAGACAGTTTTCAAGACGGCGTTTTTTTTCATAGTAAACAGATGTACCCATAAACCAATTTTGACAGGAAACAGAAGCATGGTTTAGAAGCTAATTTTTTTTAATCACTTTTGACCAAAAAAGCACATTTTTGTGCATATTTCAAACTACAGTGTCCATAAAAATAAAATACTAACAAAACTTTAAAATTCATACAATAAGCTTTCCGAAAATATATAGTTTTGTGGACAAGGGAGGTCATCTTGGTTTCCTAATTAACTAATTAAAATACCTGTCAGGTAAACTGCATCTCTACCTTAATCTGTCTGTCCATGCTTAGAATTAACCTTTTGAATGTTTAGGGTGTAGTCTGTCCATTCGTCCATCTGTCCATTCTTAGAATTAACCCTTTGAATGTTTAGGGTGTAGTCTGTCCATTCGTCCGTCTGTCCATGCTTGGAATTAACCATTTGAATGTTTAGGGTGTAGTCTGTCCATTAATCTGTCTGTCCATGCTTAGAATTAACCATTTGAATGTTTAGGTTGTAGTCTGTCCATTCGTCTGTCTGTCCTTGCTTGAAATTAACCATTTGAATGTTTAGAGTGTAGTCTGTCCATTAATCTGTCTGTCCATGCTTAGAATTAACCATTTGAATGTTTAGAATGTAGTCTGTCCATTTGTCTGTCTGTCCATGCTTGAAATTAACCCTTCGAATGTTTAGGTTGTAGTCTGTCCATTCGTCTTGTCCGTCCATGCTTGGAATTACCCCTTTGAATGTTTAGGGTGTAGTCTGTTCATTTGTCTGTCTGTCCATGCTTGGAATTAACCCTTTGAATGTTTATGGTGTAGTTTGTTCATTCGTCTGTCTGTGCATGCTTGGAATTAACTCTTTGAATGTTTAGAATGTAGTCTGTCCATTCGTCTGTCTGTCCATGCTTGGAATTAACAATTTTGTCTACATCAGATTTATGCATTGTAACTACATCTAGTGGATGATGGATATCAGTGAACATTAACACAAACACATTCTGTTTGACAGGTGTGGTCTGGACACCTTGGTAGATGTGTCCAAACTATTGGTGGCGATGATTACACCAGTGCTAACTGTGTCGTCATCAACCCATGTGGTACAAGGATTGTGATTGGTTATCAGGATGAATGCACCAAGATGTTTGATTTGACAACAGGATTAGTGGTATGGTCTGTGAAACATCATACGATGAGAATACGCTGTATTGTATGGTGTCCCGAAAATGACTTTGAAAATGAAAATTATAACGTTCTGAGGATACAACACTAAAGGTATGTTAAATGTAGTCAGGTAGCCTGGAAGTGACAAATTACACCAGTCTCTGACAGTGGTGGTTCCAGCCATATGTCCACTTACACCCATACATTAGTCAGATTTTCTAATATGAATTTTTCAGACTTCAAATGACAAATTATTCAGTCTTAGGTGGTATATTTAGTGTTAAAAGCTGGATTAGTCACTGCCTGAGTGTGGTAGACAAAATGTATGTTGGCCTTGTAGTTTACTTGAGAAATGAACAAATTACAACAAGTCTCTGGCATATTCACTCTGGGTATCCTCCCAGTGGTTTTGATCTCTCCAATATGCCTGTAGCACACTAACCCACAGTTTTTTGGCCTCCCCAAGTAAGTCTGTGGCATACCCACTTGAGGTACAGTGGCTTTGAGCTTCCCAGTAAGTCTGTGGAACACTAACCAAGAGTACAGAGTTATTACATCCCTCAGTAAGTCTGTGGCATACTCACTCGGGGTACAGTGGCTTTGTCTTCCCCAGTAAGTCTGTGGCATACCCACTCGGAGTACAGTGGCTTTGTCTTCCCCAGTAAGTTTGTGGCATACTCACTCAGGGTACGTGGCTTTGAGCTTCCCAGTAAGTCTGTGACATACTCACTCGGGGTACAGTGGCTTTGTCTTCCCCAGTAAGTTTGTGGCATACTCACTCAGGGTACGTGGCTTTGAGCTTCCCAGTAAGTCTGTGACATACTCACTCGGG